GCTCGGAAGGTTCATCTTGCCAAGCTTTATAAATAAGAATATTAAAATTAAAAACATGTTAACAACAACGTATCAATATGAAATAAATAGTTATAATAAAAAATATTCACCTTTTTTAATGATTTTTGCAAGTTCACTAGGAATTTTTGATGGGCAAAGTTCGATTTGAAGATTTTCACGTTTTTTAGCCATGACATGTTCTTGAATAGCGGTCACACTATTCATTTTTTTATAAGGAATTTTTTGATAACAAAGTTCCCAAAGTAACATTCCAAAACTATAAAAAGCAATATTCTGTTAATTTTTATAAACCTAAAGTTTATTATTAGTAAAGGAGTTAAATATTTACCTAAACATTTCGCATTTATGATTATATCGTTGTTCAGCACTAGCACCTCCTGTTACACGCATTTTTTCTGGAGCTAACCACCTTACGATATCTAACAAGTTTTTAACTTCTGCAGATAATCCTTGAACTGTACGACTCAGTTCGAAATTCGAAAGTTTAGCCACCTGATTTTCCGTAATCTATTACAGTATCATTATATAGAAAATATTACTAAATAATTTTAAGATATAAAATATGATATATATTTCATACCAGAATATTTTCACAACGAACATCATGATGTAAAATTTTACATTGATGTACGAATACGAGACCGTTGAATATGTCACGAGCAAATTTTAATTTCATAGGCCATTTTATTTCATAATTTGTGTACATCTCTTTCAAATTACTGTATGTTGCCCAGTTAAAAACCATTACATCACTGTTATCTACTTTAGAAAGGCCATAAAAAGTGACAACATTCGCACACAATGTTCCTAATTTAAGAAGAATGATTAATTCTGTTTGACCTTTTTGAGATTGTGCTGTGTCGTTATTTTCGATATTTGGAACTTTTTTACAAGCAACTTCTTGTCCTCGAAACATTTTTTTAATAACGGTTTTTCTACTACCACGAACATTATCATTTGATGCAAATGGATCCGATAATTCATTCGGATCTACCTTAGGTGCTTCGTATACCTCTTTTAAAGGTGTTTTTGACGCAGTATGTCTACCCGATGATCTGCTGGTTTGTGCGTTCAAATGCTCCATGCTTGATGCTAATGCTGCAACTTCATTCATAACTACTTTAAGGTCAGATTTTACCTCATCCACAGACTATTCAGATAATTTGTAAATTAATATATTATAAAAATAATTAATTAATTTTTTTTTTTTTTTTTTTTTTTGAAATGACTATAGGAATACCTTGTTCAAAAGATCAATATCTTCAGCTACATTTTTAGCTTCTTGTTCTCTTCGTTCAACATCATACATAGCTATAGTAAAATGAAGATCACTACATACTTCTTCAAATTCTTTTATATTCTTTTCAAATGCATCTTTAATTGCATTAGCATTTATAAATTTTTGAAAGTACGAAAGTTGCGTAATTTCTTTAGCAAATTTCTTGATGTTTTCTAAGACATTAACAAATCTAACCCATGCATTATAATAACTTTGATTTCGAAATCTTTCTTCATTGGCTTGTTTTTGTCTTTGTAAAGATTTCACAGCGAATTGTGCGATTTCGACACGTTCAACCAATGCTAAACAAATTTTTTGATTGCATTTGGCATTTTCATAGATTGTTGATAATTGGTGAACAATTGTTGTAACCATGCTGAATAATGGAACAAAAGGTTCAATGGCATCGCCTACTGTTTGTACAGCACAAGCTATTCCTGATGATGTACTGAACTTTTTCGTGCTGTATTCCCCAGTCTTATGCACTTTCATTTGACTTCCATCTGTCGTATTATAATTAGATGCCATTATTTTAAATAAATGTAATTACCTCAAATTTATCGATTTTGAGAAATTACAGAATTAGACTGTCTAAGCATGAAAAGGATGAAAAAATTAGTGAATTACCTTATATTTACGGCTAAATGTGAATAAACTCCGTTGTGTCTCGGGCCATCTTTTTCGTAAAAGATAACTGTACTACATTGTGTGAAACTGCAACACAACTTATTTCTGTATTTGTTAATTTGAATAAGTCACATGATAAATGATTTCTTCCTATGCTACCAGAAACGAAGCTAAGTCATGTCACTGAAAAGTGTAGGTCGAATACCAGTGACGATGATTTTCTGCAAAATGCAGAATTCAGATATTGACAAAGATCCGGAGGGTTGACAATAAATTAACACAACATGCGAGCAAGGAGGTATTCGAAAAGCAATTTTTTTTGCGCAAAAATTGAATTTCGTAGAAGCTAATCTGCAAATTATCTCAGAAACTGATTATCACGCAGAAAATAATTGTCCCTTGCAGGGACCATGAAAAATCGATTGGATTTGGCAAACATTATATCGATTTACTGATTAAAGACATAAAATACCTAGAAGCAGTGTTGTATATGAACAGCCTTTGGACATTTTGATCAAAAAAATAAAATAGGCTAGGTGCTGGAAAAAGGGCCGAAAATAACAATTTTTTCAAATAAGTTTTTTTTATATAAATCAATTTAGAATCATTTTTCAATTAAGATACAAAAGTAGTTGTATTAATAAAATTTTGTAGTAAGGCTCTTTTCCGTAGATCAATAAACAGGAAAGAAAATAGTTAAAAAACCAAATAACTGCTAGCTAACTATACAAAAGACTTGCCTAACTTGGCTCAAAACAGTCACTA